AGCGCCCAGCGGGGCTGGGGTGCGCTCCCAGCATGGGGAGCCCCGGCACCCCGAGCCCTTGGGACACGGGCTGCGCCGGGCCCTGGCTGAGCGTCCCCGAAAGAAGCAGCGGCCGCCCCTCCCTCACCCAGGGGAGGTGAGGGGGTCCCCGGGTCGGGGTTAGGCCCGAGCCCCCCGGGCTCCCAGGCCGCGGGCGCAGGGTGGGAGCGGGATGAGGGTTTGTTTGCCAGGGGGATTTTCTAAGGCCCAGAGAGCAAACCACCGCAGTCCTGGCACGCGTTGCTCCTGCGGTGTAGTGCGTATCAAGCTCATTAACGGAGCAAGTTCTGCTTCTTCCTGCAGGAGCTTAGAAGTCATTTAAGTTCCTACTACACCTGCAGACTTTTAGTCTGGCTTCTCCTGTTCCAGGAATGGAATTTGGATTACGTTAGCAACAGAAGGTTGTAGCTGGTAAAGCAGCTACTGCTTGGGTAACACGGCTGCCAACGCTTGCTTTGCTGGCTGATGCTGATGGCAGATAGGCASTTCATTTGAAAGCTTGTCTGCTAATTAAGCTTAGATAGTATTTCCTTTCTTGTAGATTGCTTTCCTTCTGGACAGGGTTGCATCTGTTGTAAAATACATATGTGCCTATATATATATACGTTCTGGTACTGGATTATCTCCACACCATATGGGAGTCTTTCTCCCTGAATCTCAGCTTCTTGCCCAGCATTTTGATCAAAGTATCTGGAAAACTRAATATTGGTATCTTTCACATGTCAGACATCGTTCAATGTCTCAGGTTTAATGYTCCTGCCTCAGCAGAAATGTTACCTTTAGAAAAGAAGAGGGTTTTTCAAGTGCTGCTCTGTCAAGTGACCTTGGTGCTGCCAGCATCTTTATCATCTCATTTTTGAATGTTATTTTGATTCAGAGTTTATCTTCAGAGATGATAGAGAGTTACTGTTTTGCTTTAGCTCTGCAGTCTCTGGTGTTGTGTAATTTRTGCAACATGCTACATTGGCAGAAAGTAATCACCTTTCTTCCCATGGTCACTCGAGTCTGGCATTCTGTACAAGAAAATCTATATTGTTAGCAAGTAAATTYAGCAGGCTGCATTACAGCTTCCTGTAAATACAGGGGTAGATTTTTATTTCCCAGAAGAGTTCAAGGTAATTTTTCTTGCTCGTAAACCCAGCGCTTGAAGGGATATTTAATCCAGGGGAAAAGTGAGGATGCATCTTCTCAGGCCACTGTAAATATCTGTGCCTTGGTGCTGTAATAAAAATGTGTTGCAGGCAATAATCACCCATGATTAAGTACACTTGCAGTGTTTCAAAATTTGTGTGTAAAAAAACCTGTTCAAGGATGTTTGCAAGCACTGGTGGGAAGAGCAGGAGATACGTTTTGCTCCATGAGATCAGAATTTTTTTTTTCGAACACTAATAAAGATTCAGAATAGCTGGAAAAGGCATCCTGCTCTTTAAAAATTTGCCGTCATTTCTGTATTTGGAAGTTACCAAGCTTGCCTCCAGCTCCAGCGCTCAAAGCAGGTCTTGAAGAGTCCTCACAGCGGTACATGAATGTGTAGAGCTGCATTATGAGATGGAATAAAAGTTTTTAGCACAGCATTTTCACTTTGGGCAGCTTGAGCTGCGTGTCCTGTTGTGCCTTTCCTTTAGAGCTTAGTCACAGCGTCACAAGAAAACTTACTTGTGGGAATCCTTGAAGGGGAATTTACATTTTCCTCACCCTTCTGCAGTTGCACAGATGCTCCCAAAGCAACCACTGCAGTGCTAGGTGGTGGCACACATACCCTGGCAGATGGTGAGAAATCTGCTTCAGAATGCAGGGAATTAGGCAATGGGTGGGCTGTGCCAAGTTCAGATTCCTCTTCAGCCTTAGAGGAACTATCAGTATGGGYTTATACAGCCCTGAAAGATACTTCATAGGTTTTCCCCTGATGTTCTTTCCAAACAGTGAAACAATGAGTGACTATTATAAAAACTGGGGGGGGCATAAAAAGTTATTTTATGAAGTGTCTGATCAAAAAGCTTTTTTTGCTGAGAAGAAATCAGATTTTTTTTCATGGCTCAGCAAAGATTGCACCAACATTGGAGTGACTGTGATGGAGACATCAGCGCAGGGCATAGGGCAGCCAGCATGCAGAAGCAGCTGTAGGATTAGTGACAACCTGTGCTGGACACAAAATTGCAGCAGAAGATAAATGGCATTTACAATCCTATGACTAATGTGCTGAGCTGTCCCTATGGGTATGAATATTTCAGAGATCACACATGTTGGAATTGAACAGTGATTGAAAAGGAACACTGAGGTCTGAAATTCAGTGTCTTATCACCTACTTTTGGCTGTTGGATGAACAGCCCTCCCCCGCCAGCTCAAATCCAAAGATCAGCTGAGGACATTATCCTTATAGCACCCCTCTCTTGAGATGCTCATTTCCACTTCCTCTGCACGTGAGTAAATAGTTTGAAGGAATCACATTCCTCAGTGTTGAGTCTGCTCTGTGGTAAATACCAATTAGTAGCTACAGCTAAGAGTTACAACTTCTGGCCATACCAGGGAATAGTTGGAATTTGACAAGAGAAAGTGTCGATGGAAACAGTAACAGAGTGTTGAATCCTGTTCACTCTTGTAGAGTTCTCTGAAGTTGCAGCTCTGCTGGCTTGCTGAGATGTTACTGATGTTACTGAGAAAGAGCGTGTGTTGCTTCACCTGTGAAGGGCAAACAAGGCTAACTGTGTGGCARAAGAGATGTTCCTTGTTTTTCCTCTTGTGAAAAAATAAGTTTGGAAAGTTATGATAGTAACACCCTCAGTTCTCAGAGCTCAACTCGTAATAGGGCACTATTTATAGGGCAGGTAACAGATTGGGGCCACATTTGCATAATAAAGACCARTGCTATTGTAAATTGCATCTTGCTCTCTGCAATACCATAATTACAGACTTTATGGTCTGTAAACATAATTTTTAAAGACAACTGAACCCAAGCACATGCTAACCTATATGCCTCTTCACTTTATGCATGGGAGCAAAGCCTGTAACTGGTTGAGGGCACTGTGTAGCAACAGAGCTGGTGTAATTTGTAGACTTAGTACAACAGCATGAAAACTGGACTGCTGCCTTTTTGCCAAATTCCACAGTAACCCTTATTGCTTTTAACAAATACACCTTTGACCCATTCAGTTGCACTGGCAGCAGCTATATTGTGCTCCAACCACGAGTTCGTGAATTATAAAAACTACTTATCCTTACAGTGCTGGTGGCTTTCTTTTTTGTTCTCAGGTACAAGGATGCAAAATTTACCTGCTGAGATGTATTCCACGTGCTTTTCTGAGTAACAGCGTACACATACACATGGGGAACACTGCCAGCACTAACAGTGACATGGCACTGGCTTCACATGACTTGTCTGGGAGGGGACAGCCAGCTCCTGCTTGGAAACACACCCCCGTCACTCTTGCCTAAACCTTTATAAAGTTTCAACAGCAGTAGTGAAAAGTGAGGAGTTGAACTCTGGGCTCTGAATAGACACAAAGGACCTCTCCTAGGCTACCATCAGCAGGAGGTGAGCAAAGAATGGGCAGCCAGAGTTCAAGGGTGTAGTAGCTTGAAAAGATAGGATAGAAACTTTGAGGAAGTCATTAAAAGGCAGTGTCATGTGTCTGTGTGAAGTCCACTGTCAGCTTTTCTAGGAACGGTGGTTGCCCTCAGATCCTCAGATCCGTGCAGTGCTTGGTAGGACATCAAACACCACGTCTGGTCCTGTGTCTGACACATAGAGTGGCTGATATGCAGCTGTTGAGGTGACAAGGTAAGTGGTCCTGTGTTTTTTGTTCTATATGTTCTGTACTTTCATGGGTACTCATAGCCTTCATTCTCCCAGGAGTGGTTTTTCACTGTTCCCTATAAAGGTGGATTCCAAGGCAGTAAGGCCTACAACAGAAGCTTCAGGAGGGCAGAAGGAATCCCACAGAGCTTGGTGGGCAGCCAGTCCATGGAGATGGAGCTGTTACTGAGCTGCACCTGCTGTGCACATCTGGCTGGTGACAGAAGGATGCAATGGATGCAGTACAGGGAGAAGGGCACCTGTGCTGCCTCAGCTTGGGGCTGTCTGGGCACCAGAAATGTAAAGGAACAGCAGAGATGGAGCAGAAATAACAACACACATGTTAAAACAAATGTAAAAAATACACCAGGTTTTTTTTAGATTATATTCAGATTATATCGAGCATTTTAAAATGTGACTTAGACAAACTATTTTTTTTGATACCTGAAGTGGAAAGTTCAGTGAAAACAAGAACTGTGACTTAATGAACAGTTGTTGGGCAAATGAAGTTTTACATTGAAGTAATAATATAAAAAATGTATTAGCATTCTTTTTTGAATTGTGTATGTTTCCCCTTTAATGTCAAGAGACTGATTGGAAAAGCAATTAGTTTTACATAAGGGTTGAGAATTTGGTTTGGATCAAATTTTGTGATAAYTGTTTGAAATAACTATTTGATAACTATTTGAAACTATTTGGAAAGGAACCTTTTTTTTTTTTTTTAATAGCACTAGTTCTAGCTGACATTTGGAAATAGCTGCAGGCAGCTGAGAGCTTCAGTGGTTGATTTGGGACTGTAAAATATGCCAACATGAGAGCAGTGCCAAGCAGCTGAATGGCTTTTTTGTTTGCTGAAACAGCCATGGTTACATGGATGGTTTTTTAATGTATTTGGTGTATTCTGAAGCAGGAGAAACATTATGCAATTTAAAAAAGAGTAGGTAATGAGATGTTGGGGAAAACCTACTCTATCCAAATTTATCTGGGTTGACTGTAAATAATGTAAAATTTTATCCTCAAATGTGGCTTAATAARGGTAGGGTTCTGAACCAGAGGGGAAGCAGACGTGGCAGCTTTGTTTTGAACTAAAAATCTTGCCCAAGCCAGCCTTCTGTCATAAACTGAGTATTTTAAAAAGAGTACTAGAGATGTGATTGTAATTTTAACTCTTCCCTAAATGCACAGAATATGTAACTCAATCAAGTAACAGCTCCTTCTCATTCCAAAAACTCAAAGCAGAGTCACATTTTCTACAGTGTTCTTCTCTCTAGCACTTCACATGCAAAGGTTCAGCAGGTTTGAGTCAACACTGCTGGATGAAGGAACCTCTGGAGCATCAGCCTTAAAGCTCACTGAAGTTCCCCTTTTCCATCTGCCTCTCCTATATCTACTTTTGTCTGCTCTAAGGTCATCAGAGCAGAATAATCTCTTTAGCCACAGAAGACTATGCCCAGCACTATTTACTGTACTGTCCCAGCAGAATAATTGGATATTGCTGATGTTTCAGCTCCCTACTGGGTGGTTGTAAAGATAGGGATGTGCACAGCCAAAGGGCAAATARTATGAGTTATAACCAGAAAAATTCCAAGTGGAAAAAAGATTACAGTGAAGGTTGTCAAATACTGGAACAGATTTCCCAGAGAAACTGTGAAATCTCCCTCTGCAGACACTCAAGTGTTCAAGACTCTGAACAACCTGTTAAGAAAGCTGGAATGGAGCAAAGYCTCAAAGGAATGGATTATTCAAGCCTGACATATTTCAAGCATTAGTAGTGTTTTCCTGGAGACAGTGGGCACACCTGCATGAGAGGACCTGTGTGACAAGATGGGCATGTAGTGGATGTTATGTAACAGATGTGATTAAAAGRTCTTTTAAAAATTAAGATAAGGTCAATTTAAATTTGGCCTGTGGCGTGTGATTTATGCTGTTCTGTTCAGGCCAGCAGGTTATTTTTGGTTGTTTCGTATGGGTATTCTTCATCAGATATATTATAGTTCAACTGTATTTTATCAATAAAGATGTGGTTGGCAAACAATGTATGAGAGGAAAGGAAAATCCCCCAGACTGGCTCTGGTAGCTCACCAAGTCCAGTAGTGAGGAGTTCTATGTCTGGGAAAGACAGGAAGCTCTGGGACTCTGTAGGTTCCCTAAAATGTTCTCGTTTTAAGCAATAGCACCTTAAGGCACTTCTCATGCCACCTTTTCTTGGCTAAGGAAGACAAAGCAAACTTGGGTTTGGTTTCTTTTTTAAGACTGCTACCAAAAGTTAGCATTGCCCATAGGACACATCCAACCCTAGTGTTGAAATATGGAGTTGGGAGTTGGCCTCAGGGTTTCAAGTTTCAGATCCCTTTTTACCTTATTTTTCTTTTTTCCTTCTCAGAACTAACATCAGTTTCTTTCACTAAAGTGTGTGGTGTGGTGGGCTGGCCTTACTCTTTCATGTCTGTTTGTAAGCAGGAAGGTGGTGTGTAATTTTTCTGTTTCATGCCCTTTAACCTGCATTTTAACATGTAATGCAACAGAGTGGGAACACGTGTAAATAAACACAGTTGTATTTGTAAGAACATATGCAGAAGGCTGTAATTTCAAATCTAAACTAGAACCTCCTGGCTAATACAGGACTTCTTTTTGGCAGTTTATTCCTCCTTTCTGAAWCACTGCAAGAAGAGTACTCCCCAAGAGGCCTCCCTCCATCATCAAGGTAATAGAATGTCATCTTCCTAATGAGTAATTTTCCAACTATTTGTACCTTAGACAGGGACCTTTGAACCTTCTTTATGCTTGCCTTTGTACTTTAGGTAACAGTTTGCCTGTGCTTGAATATTCTGCTGAGTAGGAAAAGCAAAATGGATTAAATTCTACAATCCTCTATAATATGGCCGTCATATTATTAGAAGTTGTGTGTTTGTTCTTAAAGACCATGTGAAACCAAGAAAACATTAAGGAATGTTTTGTTAACTTTTGCTAATTATATTTGACAATAAGAGTGCARAAGTATAAAAACAGCTGTGCAATAATCCCTAGGACCGTCAGAGTATGTCCTAAAATACAGAACTCTTTATGCCCATGGCCAGCAGTGAAGCCCCAGCAGCTACTTAAACCTTAGGTTTGATTTATTTTTTTTAAAATTTCTTTTAAGAAAACTATAAACAAATGATCAAGCCAGAGCCAAGTGCAGGGAGATTTATCATAAGATGGCCACATGCCCATTTAGGACTTTAACCCTCTAAATTACCATAGAAGCAAGGATGATTTTCTCACTTACCATGTTCTTAAACTGTATCTTAGAGCTCCTCTGCCATGTGAGTGGAGGCTGTGGGGCTCTACTGTTAATCTCCATGGCACAAACTCAGTGTGTTGTAGTTGGATTATTTTTGATCCCTGTTAATTGCATGCTGTCATTATAGAACATGATGTCCCATGTTATCATTTCCTTACAGCCTGGGAAGGGCTGGAGTAGCTACTTGGTGCTGCAGTGTATTCTGGGGCCAGGTGAAGGGAGGCAATCTTACCACAACACACCAGTGCCACCATCAAAAGCTTTGGTTTTGGCTATTCTCCCATTTTTCTCTGTCATCCTTGCACCCCTGTTAAAGTTCTGGCACACTACTAACTGCTCAGGAAATAAGGGCATTTTTCTTCTCAACAACTCAGCTTTGGTAATGGCCAACGTATGAAGGACGGAGCATAGACAGTAAATATTTTACACTTTTATCAATGAAGTGGAGGGGATTTGCTGTTGTCAGTATCATGTTCTGCCTCTCTCCAGCTGTACAAGGTTCACTTACTTAGATCAYCTTTTATTTCAGATGGAAAGAGACTCTGGATATTCCTCCACTGCTGAGATGCAGAAGCAGGTAAAGTCTCGAGGGCATCTTTTAAAGGAAGCATTATGCAGGTGCTTTGGAAGGCTGGATGTGTTGAATCATCTTCTAAGAGAAGTGACAGGCACATCCTCATTCCGAACATTTTAACACAATTAGGAGCTCATCTCTTATCATTTAAGCAACATTTCCCCAGCATTTTCCTTTCCAGTAGACTGCAGCTACAGCAGYCCATAACCAGAAGCTGTGTCATCTCACTGGGCCTGGTCCTCAGAGTGGTCTTGCTAAACATTCATTTTCCAGCTGATGTGCCCTCTTACCTCTCTTTACCTTACCAGCAGCAATCCTGTTCTGCACTTAAGAGATTTGCCAACTTGTACAAGCACTTTAAGAGCAAGAACTCAAGCAATCCATGAATTAGTTTGCAACCACTGTGCTGTAGCTGTTGGCATGAGGAGAAACAGGCTATTAAGCACTTGGACTTGATGAACAAGATTTTTTTTTCTATGTAAACTTCTTTGCTTCTACATCTCAGGTAATTATACTGTGTGGGATTCATGTAATCACTTCATCACATGCAATAAAAACACAGCCTCAACACAAGACTGTTTCTAGCCAAAGGGCTTTTAAAATAGGTGGAGTGCTGAGCTTTAGCTCCTCTCTGTCCTGTCTCAAAGCAGGACATGCACAGTATCTGGTGAGTATTAAGAGTTACTAATTTTTGAAACTCTTGAGTTCTTCAGCTGGAGGATGCTAAAGCAACTGAAACCTTATTTGGTCTAACTAAAAATTCTTACACTTTTAAGACAGAATTTGTGTTTGGTCTGCTCTTTCTTCATCCCAGGAGAAAAAGGGTTTAGAGAATACGAGTCTGTTAAAAAGCTTTCTGTAGCTTCTGTAACCATTTTTTTTCTGAAGAATATATAAGTGATGGTCCAGAGTCTAAAGATTAAGAAAGTCTTACATCAGCATACATGGGGCATAAATGGATGAAGGGAAGTATRAAACTGCTAAGAGAGCAAATCTCTGGTCCAGGATCCAGCAGGCACTATCTGAAGCTGGAGGAGAGGCTGTTGCCAGCCTGGCATTCACAGTTCAGAGTCCTGTTA